CTACACTGGCATGGATGATCTTGCGCAAAAGCACATGCCAGTATAGACACACTCTTCTAGAGGAGTTTTTGCACAAGAACTCTTCCGCAAAAGAGTTCTTGCGCAAGATCATGTCAGTGTAGACATAGCCTATGTAAAAACTGTTTTGTAAGTTTTTTTAAAAATGGAAACCCAAGTAATGACAGTGTTTGTAGTAAAAGTCTGAGGGTACATCTAGATTACATGCCTCTGCCGACAGAGGCATGTAAAATAGGCTACCTGACATAGTCAGTGAAGCGGGGATTTAAATATCCCCGGCTTCATTAAAATAAAAATGGCCGCTGCACTGTGCCGGCTCAGCTGATCGTTGGCACAGTGCACGAGTCAAGATGCGGATCAGTCGACAAGGGAAGCCTTTGTCGACCACGCCTGTAAACCTCGTTTCATGAGGCATAAGGGAGACTATGTCGGGTAGCCTATTATACATGCCTCTGTCGGCAGAGGCATGTAATCTAGACGTACCCACAGCAAAAACAGAAAACATTCTAACATTTTTCCGAGCGAAAACAGAAAACATTCTAACATTTTTCCTCAACTACTTTGATGATTGTATTATTGCTATCCTGTCCCTCACCTGATGTTTTCTCCCAACTGCATACCCACGAGACTAGCTGGCCTTCTACAAGTTGTCTGTAACCCAAATACCACTCTCCTCTATGGAAAAACATTAAAGCTATTTAATCCCTTCTAATTTAAGAACTATAAAGAGTCAGAGATTTGCACCAAGATCAAGAGTGATATTTTCAGAAGTGCCTTAAATTACTTACGAACACACACCCTTAGAAAGTCAAACTATTCTTACATCAAGTGGGTACTTTTGGAAATCCCATTCATAGATTGTATTTAGTCACTAAACTCTAAAGGCTTACTATTACAACAAGGGTAATAAAAGCAGCAACTGCACCAAACTCTGCAACTCACAGGAAATCTGTTTTTAAACTTGCATAGTTGTGAGCTCTCCTAGTGAGAATAGCCTTGCTCTGCTTTATTTGAGATTTTAATTGTCAGAAAAGCTTGTTATGCTTTCCTGAATTGTAATTCTCATTTTCTGCTAGGACAACTAAGCAAGAAGGTTATAATTCAGAAGCACCTGCTTGATTCAAGAGCTGAATCCTTCCTAGGATATAACGAGCACCTCTTGTGAGGTACTGTGTAGAGATGGTAGAACAGTTTAAACAATTTATATTCACTTAAAACATGCAGTTTGGTCAACATGTAACTCTGCAAATTTGACACTAATTCACCCAAATAGTTTTGGCCAATGGAGAATTAATTAGAACACATTACGGGTGACTCTCAACTTACGACTGCCCGACTTAGAACCCCCCCGCATTTACAATGGAGACTCCACACGTCAGTAACAGTGCCAATCAGCAGTGTTTGAACTGATGCCCCGCCAGGTCAGCAGGGCCTTCCTCCAGGCCCTGATCAGCACCACTGCAGGCCTGGGACATTTGTGTAGCCTGTCCCTAGCAACCACCCTGCTCCGGCCCAGCGTGGCCTCTCAAGCCTGGAGCTCTGGGGACTACAACTCCCAGGAGGCAAAGCAAGCAGCTGTTTCTCCCGCTGCGTGGCCTCATGGGAATCACAGCAGGAGGGGCTGTTACACTAGTGTCCCACCTAGTTGTATTATTAGGAACGGAAGTGTCATTTATAACATTGCACCAATGGGAAATAAGGGTTTGACTTATGACTGCTCTTCAGGAACCAATTAGGTCGTAAGTGCAGGGGTTACCTGTATATTAGCCCAGGTAGCATGATTCCATTTTAAAAAGATGTTTCATTGTTTCAAGCCAATAGTTCTGTAAACTATTTTGCAACCCAAAATCATGCTAAACTAGACCTCAGTCAAATTAATACCATTTATTACGATCTCTTACAACTTTTCATGGTTCAAACCCTTGTTATTAGCAATATAGAAGAATATGCAGCGCTGAGTACAGCATAAAGTCTAATCTTTAATGTCATTTAATTTAAATAAAAATGTGAGCAAGAACTCACAAGGTGTTCAGATTCTGTGGCAAAGATCCATCTCCGTATTTACATGTCAAAATTCTATACATGTCACCAGTTACATACATGAGCACACAAATTAAGATTTAAAAGTAATGAGCTACAACAAAATTACAATTAGACTCTGATGTGAAGGCCAAAAAGGGACCATCAAGATCATTTAGTCTGATATCTGGCTCAGAGGGCAGAGAGCCTCACCCACCCACTGCCTGAGAATCATATTCTCTAGCTGAGTTACTGAAGTCCTCAAACATGATTTAGAGATTTCAAGTTACAGGAAATCCACCATTTACTGTAGTTAAATCAGCAAGTGACTTGTGCCCCATGCTGCAGAGGAAAGGCACCACACAGAGAGAAAAACAGGTTTTACATAGTTTAAAATTAGGCATTATTTGCACTATAGATTTCTCTCACTCTTATTTCATTAGGCCTCAAACCCATCAATCGTAACCACATCAACCTAAATTGTGTCTCTCAGGATTGACAAGAACCTCTGAATGCAGCTGAACAAAAAAATTTAAACAGATGAGAAACCAATCACCCACTGTCGCAGTCCCAAATACTGATGCCACAACCAATACTTTTGGAGAGAAGTTTAATTTCTCAGCCTAAAACATCTTTCTGGCCATCTGTTTAATCCCATTTTCCTTTGATTTGTGTAATCCCTCTCCTAAACTAGGAAATGATGTCATATGCAAAGCAGGGTTCAAGGTGCCTCTGAACTCTGAAAATGATTTTGAGACCAAAGTCAAGAAAAAAAAATCGATGCATTTGCAAAGAAGAAAAAAGTTGATGAGAAGTTACTTTTTCCCCTCAGAGAAAAAAAACATTTCCCTTGTAAAGCAAGGCTTTTTTTGTTCTAAAAGCAAGCAAGTCTGTAATGCTGTTCCAAACAGTGAAGTACATATCACAAATTCAATGCCCATAATAGAAGATATTCCAGAAACATGAATTTAAATCACAGTCTTCAAACTAAGGATGTTAAATGCGCTGGGGCTCTTGTACATTTCAAAGGAGGAATGTGGAACTCCTTGTAAACCCAGGCCCAGTGGGGGCTCTTGTGCATTTCAAAGCCATGGAGCCTGGAGTCAATGGGGGACTCTGTCTCCCGCTGACTCTGGGCTCCACCAGGAGCCCGGGTCAGCTGTGAGTCCTTAGCTGCCCACAGGCTCCACAGCAGCTGCCACTTTGAAATGCCAGAAGTGGCATTTTAAAGGGGCAGCCGCCGCACAGCTGATCCATGGACTGTGTTGACTGACTTGGCCTTAGAGGCTCACATATAGATGCTTGGGATGGAGCCCGAGCTCTGGGACTCTGTTTGGATGGAAGGTCCCATAGCTTAGGTTCCAGCCCCAGCCTGAACATCTGTAAACTAATTAACAGGTTTCTGTCCCTGCAGATTAAGCCTTGTAAGCCAGAGTCAGCCGACCTGGACCAGCTGTGGGTGTTTTATTCGCTATACAAACACCCCAAAGACTCTCAATACCTTGTTATCTACTGCCCACTCAGCGGAACAGGTTTAACTTCCTCCTGGTAATAGGTAGCTGCAAAAACCTTTTTATAATTTGCTTAGGCAACGTCAGCAAGAAAAGCATTAAGTCTAGTTTGAGAGAATCCTTAAAGTCAAATACTTTCTGATTTACCCATGACTTGTCTTTTATTTTACTACTAGAAGACTTACCTGGAGCTCCCTGGGCCCGGCCCTGCGGGAGGGAGGGGCGAAAAGACACAGAGGTCTCCTGCTAGCGCACCCTGGGGCTGGGCCAGGTGGGGGTGGGGGACGTGCAGGCCAACCCGGTGACCTTCAGGGAGCTGGCCAAGGAAGAGGAGGGCTGCACAGCCCTGCTGGCGTGGCCTCATTGGGTAGCGGAGCCAGCAGGGATTTCCCTCATCCCTCTTTCAGTTTGGTGCTGCGGCCGAGAGCCTGGAGGGAGAGGTTTGGGGCACTTGCCTGGGCTGGTGTCCAGCAAGACTACAAGCCCCGTCCCCAGATGGTCACTCCCTTCCTGGTGCAGCTGTTCCCAGTGGTCACTCTGAAGTATAGCTGTCCCCCATGCTTGCTGACCCCAAGGGTGACTGTGCAATACTGTGTCCCTCCAATCAGTCCCCTAATCCTTTCCATATTATGGAAAACAATTGAATTACAGGCATATTCTGTTCTCCGGCCACAACCAAAACCCTGGCCTTGCTTTAAGTTAGGATGAGAGGAATCTCCATACCAAATTTGGTGGCCCTAACTGTTATGTTTAGGAGGAGTTCTTGAACAGACTCACAGACAGGTGCCTCTAAATTACAGACAGATGAATCCTGAGAAGATCTCACGGGAGTCTGAGATTAACTCCTTAAATGCTACAGAAAATGGCAGTATTCTGTGCACGTTAACAGAAGAAAAACATCCTATGAACATTAGCTGCTCCAGTTTCACCTTTACTATTCTTCAGAAAACAGCTTTGGAGAAAGACAAAAATGTGGCATTCCAGCTCCTGCCATAGTTATCAAGAGACTGATAATACACCAGATTGCTCCTAATCGGATGCCAACTGTACTTCTGTTCATGATCAACACAGCTCTTGGAACAAATACCTTGAAAAGCTCATTAACCAATCCAGGATAGGATGAAATGCACTACATCTAAGTTACCCATTACAGAATCATATTCAAAGTGTTTTAATGTGCTGTAGATTAAACATCAATAGGCATTTCCATCTTTCCAAAGCAAAAAAATCTGAATAAGGGCCTCATCTCTACTTCTTATTCCCCATACCAGTCCTAATCTCACTTGCACTGAATTCAAAGGTGCAAGATCAGAGCCTACACAAATAAAGAGCACAGACAAGTATTTTCTACAACAAATAAACTTTTAAAAAACAGAAAATGTAGACCACAGAAAACAGTGTCAAGATTATGAATATTTACTTGATAAATGAAACAACTTGAGAAAAACGTACCTTTACCAAACAATTTGCGTGACCTGGGATAGAACCATTTACATAAATAATGTTGTGCTTTGTGTTGATCCTCCACACCTGCAACAATGAGAAAAACATTGAAACCCAAGCATTTTATTTTGGTTTCAGGATTTATTCAATTTACTACTCATAGCCAGTTAAAAGTTGTTCATAAGACAAAAGATGGTAAATTTAAACCATTGTGGAGTAAAACATAGCTATGCATATAGCCTTGCAATTGGTATCCCCATCTGCAAAAATGATCCTTGGAGGCAGATACCTGCAAATTTCAGGATTCTAGATATATATTTGCATCTGCAGCCTCAGTATCTATGGATTTGCAGGACTCTAGCTTTGTAATTGGGATGCTTATACAATACAGGTGGGAAGAAGTGCCTGCAGGGGGTGCTTCCCTGAAGCCTGGCTGGACAAAGCAGAGCCCACTGGCTGGACAAAGCCTGCGGATTGCCTTGATCAGGCCTGCGAAGCTTGGGGCTCCCCCCACAGCAGGAAGCCAGTGCTGGCACTCCAGCCATGGTGCCCTCACATGACTGGAATGCCAGTGCCAGCTTGTTCCACTGCAGGGCAGCTCGGGGACAGAGACCCACACCTCACAAGCCAGGTCAAAGGAAGACACGGGCTGGGGGTTCCCCATCCCTGTTACACCATGTAGGAGAATATATTTTATAATATATTGTATGCACATGCAAAAGGCACCAGTATAGCAACATTCAATGGCCAAATAGGAGCATAAACATAGTAGCAGCAGCTGGGAATCTGAGGAGAAAGGGTAGGACTTAACCTTTTAATATTATATTAATAATATAATAATAATATTTAGACAAGAAAGCATCATGGAAATGTTATTGCAAATACTCGTTAATTGCTGAAGTACTTGTCAAAGTGTTGACTTGAACAACCTGAAAATATAAGTTCTCTACTTAACCACCAACCAGGTATGGCAGACAGCAGCAGCACAAACTTCCTTCTACCACAGTACTAAAATACTTCTCATATTATCTGAAGAGGTCATCTGTATGGGTGAGTGTGTGTTCATGCCCATGCAGTGCTGTGAACATGTGTACCTCAGGAACTCGACTGAGACAACCTCATTTGATGCAGAGAAATGAATGGCCATCAGATTGTAAGAACTTCTTACACTGCTGACCTGGCCTGGATCTGAACTAGAGCTGACAAAGGCTCCAAGAAGTTTACTTTTTGGTTGAAGGCTTCTAGCACTTTTCCTGCCCACCTCTCAGGAAGACAAGTGAGACATATATCATATGTACTGAAGTCTCACCTACAATTCTCATCCCACTTCCAAAAATCTAAACACCTAGAATATGCGCACATGTGGGAGCAGAATAGATGCCTTCTTTTTAAGCTGAAAGGTGAGAGAAGACACATGATATTGGAGACCTTTTGGCTCTCTCATGTTGCTGTTATGCTGACAATCTGGGTTCTTAAAGAAATATGACATTGCATTTGGGGTGTTCCACTTTTCAACAGAAGCAGCTAGTCCAAGATTGGGGCACTAAGATGATCCTATTGGGAGCAGAAATTGGTGATAGTGAAGTATTTCTCTGATGCATTTTCTTTTTTTAAATAAAAAAAGTTCCAAGTCCTATGTCACTGAATGCAAAAAGAATCAAATAGCAGCAAACAGTTTCTTTTGCTCACAGCACCAACACCCAAAAAAACACTACCTACATTTCTTCCAGGATCAGAAACCATACTTTAAAATGTTGTGTCTCTCCATTCAGTGTGTTCTCAGTTTCTAAATGTTATGCCTCCTTCTTCCACTCCCCTACATGCAATTCAACAATACTCAGCAAAAATTTCTGAATGAGTTGACAAACTTTTTTTTTTGTTTTAGGCCATGTCTGCCACAGAGAGTTTACACAGTTGTATTCTACAGCTCTATGCTGATGGGAGAGAGCTCTTCCACTGACATTATTAAATCACACCAATGAGCAGTGGTAGTGATGTCCACACATTTTCTACTTTATTTAGAACTCACCTTTAATCCAAAAGATGTCCTGTAGATATTGCCCATTTTCCCAGGCATTTTCTTTCCACGGAAAACTTTGCTAACTTTCTGTGTCAAAATACAGCCCAAAGTTACAGAGTTACAAAAGGTACCACTGCAAACTGAAAGCAATAATAAGAGCTTTTCGGAAAAGTTCATGGAAGTAAGTAAGGGAGGTCACAAACTCAAACAGAGAAAGCTACATTTGGTAACACAGACTGTTTCACTTACTGGACTAAATGACACCAAGAGAAATTTGAAATGTTGAATATCTCTATCACCAATTAGCATTTGTAAATGCTTCCTACTGGTGTGCAAAGTTTCCCCTACAGCAGCATTTCCCAAACTATGGGCCGCGGACCGCTACTGGGCCCCGGGAAAAAAAATATCGGGCCTCAGCATGCCTGGTGGCTGCTGGCAGAGCCGGCCTTAGGCTGATTCGGGCCCCACGCCCCTGAACCCGGAAGTGCCGGCGAGTTACAGAGCCGGGGGCCCTGCTCCACCAATACGTGGAGCTGGGTCTCTCCCCCGGCTCTGCCTGGCACAGGCACGGGTCTCCCACGCGTACTCCCACCCCGCCCCCAGAGCATCCCTGCTGTGCGTGGCTCCAACTCACCGCCTGCTGCTGCCCATATGCGGCGTTGCACGTGGGCGGGGAGGACGCCCGGGCATGATGTGACATCACGGCCCGGGATTTTAAAAGTCTTCAGAGGCACGTGGAGGGCCACGCTGGCTCTGGCGGGCTCCGGCCCCGCAATGTGGAAGGCAGAAGTTAGGGAACAGGCTTGGGCGGAGGCGAGGAGGCGGAGGCGGCAGCGGGCTTGCGCGGAGGGGGAGGAGTGGAAGGAGAAGGGGCTTGGGAGGTTCCATAAAAAAATTAAAAACCCCAATTACAAAGGGAGATAGCTGAACTGGAGTTTATTTGTGAATTTTATCCACAGGATCACATCACTACCACCGTATTCTTATGTATTCTCAGAGTGCATTTTTCAGATAAGCTGTTCATTATCCAAATTTACTGAACCAGATCATCGTCTGACTAATCAAACATATGCCACTTTATACCAGCTTTAAAAACTTGCTTACTATTTTCACATCAACAAAAAATACACTTTGTAAGCAGAAAATTGTGTTGCAGGTGCAAGAGGCAAGTGGCAAATGTGGCCATAATTTATTAAGCCAGCCACACTAAATAGCTAATGTTGGATTAAACCAAAAAAAAAAAAAAAAAAAACCCCCAAAAAAAAAAAAAAAAAAAAAACCAACCCAACCCTCAGTGATGTGGCCCCCAACTGAGACACTTCACTCTTCTGTCACTTTAGCCCCTACATGGTGAGGGGATATGACAGGGAGGACTGAGGTTCAGGGCTTCCCATAGGTCAGATTTACTTTCCTTGGGTTCCACAGTTAGTTAATTGTGGATTCCCTTAGGCTCTGGGATATGAGCAAAAATGAAGGGTTCAATGTGCAGGACAGGGCTGCCAGTGAATGGGATAGGGAGAAGAAGCAGGGGAGAACTGGCTGTCCGGGAGGGGGTTGGGGGAAGTGGGGCTGGCCAGAGGTGCAGTGGGGGGAGCAGGGGGGAGGAATGAATCAGCCTGCGGGGAGTGGGACTGACCCAGCCATATGTAGATCTTGGAATGCTGCCTCTGTTCCCCCCTCTCTCCCGCAAAGCACAAAACCTGAGTTAGTCCGGCTCAGGGATTCTATTGTTCCCCCTCCTCCCCCCCACACCCACCCCCTCCAGTAGTTGGGAACTGTCTGGCTGGTAGACACACTCATGCAGCCTGAGCACATTTACCAGTCAGGCAGTTCGAAACGACAAACTGATACATCTAATAATAATACAACTTACCTAATGAGAAATGTTATATGTTATATGTCTGGTATTTTCTCAGTTTGTTTTTTATGTGTTTATATTTTTGGGCTGCAAAAAGCAGTATTGGGAAAAAAAAGGGTTCCAACTAAAGTAAAAAGTTTGGGAAACCCTGGTCTAACCAGCTTTCTGTCTGTCTTACAGTCCATTTATCCAATCCATATTCCTTAACTTGCTGGCAAGAATATTGTGGGTGACCATATCAAAAGCTTTGCTAAAGCTGGCACTGGGGGTTTTGGGAGGACCAGTAACAACTTATTTGAATATTCATCATTTGATTAATGAATATGCAAACATGCAAATGAACATTACCGGTCCTCCAAAAGTTCGTGAATGGATTTACTGGTCCCCGTGTCAAAAAGTTTGGGAACCCCTGCCCTACAGTATGCACTTTTCCCTCGCTCCCCGATGGTGAGGACCAGACAACAATGTTCTCATGAAATGGGGGTGGGGAAAGCTTCAGCCCTCTTGGTGCTCCCTAATGGGCACCTGGGGCACAGAAGACTCAGGATGGAGCCAGCCCCTTTCACCTGCCTGGTGATTTGGTGTCTTTTCTGTATGGTTTTATGAGAAGCAATCCCATTCCAGGCACATCCCATTTTCCTGGCACAACCAAACCCTGACCTTGGTTTAAGTTATGGGAAGAGGAAGGTAGGTAAAAGGGGTGCCACAGGCTGGATCTGGCCCACCAAGCGGGTGGATCTGGCCTGCGGAGGCCTTGCTGCTCCCCCGCCCCCAGGCCAATTAGAGTCGTGTGCTGCTCGCAGGGCGGGGGCAAAAGGGGGGGAGGTGGGAGGGTGGAGGAGGCTTTGCGTGCTCCCCCGCCCCCCAGGCCAATCAGGGCTTAAGGGCGGGGGAGCTGCATGATGCTCCCTCTGCCCTGCCCTGGACGTGCAAGGAGCCCGCGTCACTTCAAAATGCCACATACTCCTCACAGGGCAGGAGGAGGCTTCCCACGCCCTGATTGGCCTGGAAGTGGGGGAGCATGTCAAGCCTCTTCCAGGGCGTGTGTGCCTAGTGAAAAGGGAGGGGGGGCAAAGGGACTCCCCCACCTCCAGACCAATCATGGTCTGGGGGCGGGGTAGCCCCGCCCCTTTCTGTTTAGGCTCTGTGCCTTCTGGGGTGGCCCTGGGCTACTTCAAAAATTTTTGAAGTGGCCCCTGGGCAAAAATGATTGCCCAACCCGGTATATACTGAATTTGGTGGTCCTAACTCTTACTGTTTAAGAGGAGTTCTTGAACAGAAAGAAAGACTGACGCTCAGACAGACAAGCTCTCTCAAATATATAGTAGATTTCAGATCCCTTTCAGCACTGATTTAAGAGGGGATTTTATTTCTCTTTACTTTGTTAGAAAACATTATCTTTAATAACATCAGTTAGTTACATTAAAAATGTATAAATGCTTTAGCCAGTGTGTGCCAGGATGTAAGAAAAGCATTATTGCCTCAGGTTTAAAGAAACTTCTATGGATATGTTATTCCATACGCTATCCACTATGTAGCTGTTTGCACCTTTCTCTGAAGAATCTGGTATTGTAAGACAGGATGTTGGCCTAGAAGGACAACTGGTCTATTCTAGCATGTTTAGAGACTGTGAAATGGTTTATTTTAAGCACAAACCTCTTCTCCCCTTTCCCACACCCACCCAAGTGTTGCTCCAAATTACGGTGGTGGAATGCATCATAAATGAGATAAATGAAGTTCAACTTAGGAACGTATGTAAATATCCATTAAAACAGTTAATCTTTAAAACTATATTGTTTAACTGGTTAACCACGGGAGGGCTGGCGTCCTGTCAGGGCTGCGGTCCCACTGCAGTCAGGCTCCCACTGGCCAGCCTGCTGCAAGCAAGGGGCTCCTCTAGCTCGGCTTTCTGTTGGGAGGGCTGCTCCAGCCCACCCCCTCATGGCCAAGGTCCTGCTGGCTGTGCTCACTGCCCCACACTGCTGGCCAGGGTCTGCTCCAGCCAGGCTCGTCCCTCCATCCAGGTTTGGACAGGTCCAGTCAAGTGGGTAAGTATGCCAGTAAGGCTAATGGTTACCAGGTAATCAGTTAACTAATTAACCTTTTACATCTCTAAAATATAGACATGAACTACTTACAGAGTTGGATATTGCCCCAGGTCTTCTGTGTGTTTTAGTCTGTCCGTGAGTGGCAGGTTGACCTTTAAATCCCCATCTTTTCATGACTCCTTGAAATCCTTTACCAATTCTGAAAATAAACAAAGCCAAATTCAATTTGCTTTGAAATAGATTTACAAAAATATTCTGGCAATAGTAATTACAGGTCCAGACAGGCTCTTCATCTTTCACCTTATGTAAAGCTCATCAACTATATTACTTGTGCTGCTTTTGGTAGTCAGGGGCTGTAGAGGAAAGTCAGATAGCATAAGATTAATTTCATCAACATACATGAAAGTTTCTTGCTGTGTTGGCCTTCATCTTCCAATACTATAAATTACATTGTCACCAATATTGAATTTAGAAACAGAAAGGAAAAAACCTGAAAGAGGTAAATAAAATGGAAGACTCATTTGGGAACTCTGTAGAAAGGAACCCTGAAACTCAAGCAAGAGACTTGAGGGTCTCAAGTGTTGCTAAGCCAAGCCTTGAAATGAATAAAACACTTTCCTTTCCAAACTACATATCACGTAAAAACTTAAGTAGACATCAAAGTCATACTTGGCCCTGGTGGATGAAGGTGCTTAAGCACATGCCTGAAGTGTGATTCCATTGAAGTTAATGGACAACTCATGTGAATAAATTTAGGCATATGTCTACTGAAGGGGGCCTTTAAAAGAGTTATATTTAAGAATCTCATCAAAGCTCTCTTTTTTCCAATCACATACCAAGCAGCTACTCACAGAGTTAAAATAACTTGTCTCAATTTAACAATACAACATAGCATGAAGCTGTACTAGGGATGTTCAAATTAGGTTATTTTAGTAATCGAGTAATCAATAGAATTGTTATTGACTAAAAATAGATAAAATGTTGTGTCGTCAGAATTTTATCAACTGCTCAACAAGGAAAGGCAGCCAGCTCAGTCCCGGCTGGTGCAGGGACCAAACCCTGCTTCAGCTCTGCAATTTAAAAGGCAGGAGGAGTTGGGCTGCCTGTCTGCTCCCGCCCCCCCCCACCCCCCCCCTCCCCCCCCCCTTTCAAATGCTGAAGCAGGGGTTGGATCTCAACTTGGTGCAAGCAAGGGTTCAGCCGGACTGCAGGCCTGTCCAGGACTGCTGCATTTCTGCCTTTTAAATGCTTCTCAGTAGCAGCAGCTCCTGTCTGCAGGAGGGCCCAGCTCTGCCATGGGAAAAGGCTGCTTTGTGGCAGCCTCTCCTACCCCACACCCCACAGCCTCTGATAGAGGCAGAAAGGCGGAGAGGGAAACAGGCAGGTGGCACCATGGGGATGGTGCTTAGGGTAACCAGCTTTTAAGCTGGCTCCCCCCAGCACCAGCTCCTGTTTGTCTCCCCGCCGTTGCTGTGTCTGATACAGAGGCCGCAAGGGAGGGGGAGGGGGGGCGGAAGGTGGAAGTGAGTAGTACTCGACTACTCACATCACTACTACAAACATTGTGCAATAAAATGGTAATGACATTTTAAAATGACTAAGTTTAATTTAAATAAATGTTCCAAAACAAGCAGCTTTCAGTAAAGCTTGCAGAAACCAATGTTTTCCTTGCTCTTTCTGCTGTATAAAGAAGCCCTGAAAATGTTGTGTACATGTGGTGGTTTTGTATTTAGTTAATATTTCTCCTCCTATTTTTTTTTTTATTTTACTAATATCAGGCAGAGATGTTAGCACACAGTCATTTAAACAATTAACCAATGACACCTGCATTTATCGGTGAATCCAAACAACTACCCTATCCCCCCTTTGCTGCCTCTTAAAGCTGGCTCCCAATGATCATCCACTTCATGGAGCCGCCTGCCCCCCTCCCTCTGGATCCAAGCTCAACACTGCCTCTGGGGAGCTCACAGAGCACCCTCTGTGGCTTCCCTCGCAGACTGGCTCCAGCTGCCACCCCACGCTTGCTGTCTAATACAGAGACAGCAGCATGCGACGGTAGGGGGCTCCTTGGGAGTGGGGCCAGGAGCCAGAAGCATGCTGGCTCCCAGCCTTGCCCCCTGGGGGCGGGATCATTTTAGTAAAGCGAGGGGGAAGGGGAAGAGAGAAGAGGGCTAGCTCAGTGGTTTGAGCATTGGCCTGCTAAACCCAGGGTTGTGAACTCAATCCTTGAGGGGGCCATTTAGGGATCTGGGACAAATCTGTCAGGGATGGCACTTGGTCCTGCTGTGAGGGCAGGGGACTGGACTCGATAGACCTGGAAGGGAGCTTGAGAGGTCATGAGATGGTATATCTCTATATATTATTATAACCGTGCAACAGCTAAAAATGGTTGCGGATACACGATTACTAGAATAATCAACATCCCAAATATCAGGATAATTGAGGCTTGTTCACCGTGGTTTTGAAGATTAAGAGCACAAGATAACCAAAAGACCCTCTTATTATTTAGTTGAGCAGATAAAATGCTGAAGCTTTCACAAAGAGAATCTTTTTTCCAAACACTTTGCCAGGAGTGGGTCATTTGTTTAGAGCCAACTGCTCAGCACTGTACAGAACAGGGATGTTAAATTACATGTAATCAGCTAATCGAGTATTTGATGGAATTTCCATCGACTACTTGATTAGTTGATAAGGAGGGAAACTGCAGAGGTGCAGTGGGGCTAGCCCCCAGCAGAGCTAAAAAGCAGAGGTGTGGGGGTGGGGGGCAGAGACCAGGTGGGAGCTGGGAATCAGCTGATTCGCAGCTCATGCCCAGTCTCGGCTATGCCTCTGCCTCCTCCACTCCTCCAGACAGGGCAGGGGGGAAATGTCTTTTAAGCCAGCTCCCTGCACACCTTGCAGCTTGAGTCACTACTCAAGAAGTCACTTACATCCCAAAATACAGAACACTCAAAGCAGCAGTTCCTATCGATTATGGTTTCTAATATAAAATATTTAAATTGATTGTAAAAAAAGTTAAGGATAAAATACAGACATGAACATTTAACAATCTGATTAAAAAGCCCTTTCCCAACTCATTTGCTCAATTTTCTCTTTTGATACCCAAGCAGGGCCGGATTAAGGGGGGGCTAGCCGGGCAGCTGCCCAGGGTGCCAACCTGTGGGGGGGGGGCACCTGACTAAAGTAGTAAGGGGCGCCATGTGCCGAGGGTGGAGGGGGGCGCCACGCATGCGCCACTCACCCACTGCCTGGGGCGCAAGTATGGCTCAGTCCAGCACTGTATCCAAGATTCATAATCCTACAAGATCAATTGTCCGGAGGCTTCCAAGAGAAAATGAACAGATACAAAAAATTTCCAAGTCTTTGTACGATAATTTTTATATACATGGTCTGGATGTGGGAAACTTCTGTTTGCTGTCTTGCTTCCATAAAATTATAGCATTAAAAACTAATGAGAAGGTTTAAAATATGGTTGCAGAAAAAATAGCTATCTATATGTTCCCCCCACTGAGTGCCCTCTTTGAAACATTTGAATCCAACAGTCAACTAGAGACTTTGGTTCGGTTTGATGAATATTTGAGTCTTGATTTACTCATATGCGTGTCAAAAATCCATAATACTCTTCCAATTCACTGCCATGTTATAGCAGTGCTGGCATTTGAACACTGAAAACAAGCTAAATGGGACAGTCACACATATTAATGTAAAATTAATTTGTACAATAACTACAAAATCATACAACCAAAACAAAACAAACCACAAACATAGTAAATGTCTTCAAAGTCACAAGCTTATGTCAGATATCCTATCAAGATTTTATTTTAAAAAGCTTACCACATCAAGTTTCCATCTTAATTTATTATTGCAAGAAGAGACGATTTCAGGATATATTTTTAATAACGACTTGAATACCTTTACTCTGCAGCAATGTCAGAAGAATATTTGAAATTTAAAAGAAACACTAGAAGTGGGAATACTTGAAGACTCACATGTATGAACTGCAGAAATTATATTTTTCTGGCATCTCTAGCAGGACTTAGTAAATATCTAGACCTCAAAGCAACCAGATCTCATGGTAAGTATCTAGTGACCACACAGAGAAATTCGAACATTAATTCTTTAGCAGCAGAAATGCATTAAACTAAAATTCAACATCTGAAGGAACCAGTATCAAAGAAAATGGTCCTGTCAACTTTAATCAAGGAGCATAATCCCATGGGTCATGAAACAGAACATTCACTTCAAATGTTTCATCCAGAAAGCCAATTGTCTAGACTCTGCTGTAAATTGTACTTTTCAAAAAATCAAAATAAAAAAGCAGTTCCATCAACTGTATATATTTAAGAGGCTGCACTTCAGGAATAATCATTTGTAGTACTTCAGTATCTAGTAGAAGATATGTTTTCAACAAGTGCTGCTTGTACTGTGGGATAACATTTCCTGTGTTTAATAATTTATTCAATGCAGTAGAGCATACGGCACTCACCTATCTTCTGCTCTCAGTTATCTTCCAATTGTTTTCTTATGCATATATATTACTTTGAACACATGCTCAAATTGTGCAGGATTGGGCCCTTAGTGAATTTACAGGAAACAGACAGACAAAAGAATAGCGCTCTGAATAATCTTAAATTTCCAGTGTGTTGAACTGAGACATGAAAGTCTCAGAAGGGTAGCCGTGTTAGTCTGTAACTAAAAAAAACTTAAACAACAATGGTCCTGTAGTACCTTAAAGACTAACAAAAAATATATATAGTTAGTATCATGAGCTTCCGTGGGCACAACCCACTTCTTCAGATGACAAATATGGAGCAAAAGGCACAGAGATTCAATTCTAATGCAGAAAAAGAGGGGAAAGGGAGAGGGGGAAAAACTTGTCAATTAAAGTGTCCTTGCTAAATGAGGTTAATAGAGTGGTCCATAAGTACCTGATACTGTAAAACTCCAGTTGTCTGGCATCCAGTGGTCTGGCACTCCTGATAGTCCGGCACCACCTGGAACCCGGAAGTACTCCAGGCAGCCGGACAATTGGAGATGCTCTGCCCCGGGCTTCCCCGAGTCAGCCGCTGGTCAGTTTCAGCAGCGGCTGACTTGGGGACGCCCGGGGAAGAGCAGCTGGGGTGCTGGGTTGGTCCCTTAGCGCCGCCCATCGGCACTGCGGGACCAACTCAGCAGCACCCCAGCTGCTCTGCCCCAGAC